GTGTTGTTCTCATGCCCGTCTTCATTCCTTTCACTCAGGTACATGCCGTGCGCCTCGCCGACCGCGCCCGACTGCCAGTTCTACCGGCGACACCACGACACCATCCCCGAGCTGGCGCGCCGCCCCCGCCCCCGCGTGGCCCGCAGCCGCCTCCGCCCGCGGCACCGTCAGCAGTACTCAAATCACAAACGGAGCGCCTCCCGCAGCCGCACTTCGTCAGTCATCTGAGCCAAGCGCCCGCGGCGAGCGCCTTGCCAACGGCGGCTCTCTCTCCGCGATCCGCAGGCGACGATGCCGTGCGGCCCTCGCGTCTACACCTTCTTTCTCTACCTCTCCGACGTCGAGGAGGGCGGAGGCACCAAGTTCGACGGCGCGCGCTCAACCGCCGCGCCGCGCGAGGAGCGGTCGCCCTCCGCATCCTCCCTGCCCGCCCGCAGGCGGCTTCACGGTGCAGCCCAAGAAGGGGAGGGCGGTGCTGTGGCCCGCAACCTTCAACGAGCGGCCCTTCGAGAAGGACGCACGCACCCACCACGAGGCGCTGCCCGTCCTCAAGGGCATCAAATACGCGGCGCTCCTCAGCCCGCCTCCCCTCCTCCCCGCGCGCACGCACACCCACGAGGCCGCCATGCGCTCACTCCATCCCTCCACCCCCTCCCAGGCCAACTTTTGGCTCCACCAGTACGACTACGTGGACGCGCACCACAGAGGGTGCACGGCCTGAGCTTCTCGTGGCGTGTGTGTGTCTATGTACGGCGCGAGCCCGGCTGCATGTGTGCGATCGCGGCGTCTTTGCCTGTGTGGGCCTGTGTAGAGAGCGGGGGACGGGGGAGCCTGTAGCGCCGCCTTTCCTCGCACCCCCGCTGCGGTGTGTTTTTCCGCGCGGCGGCGCGGGGCTGGCGAATAATCCTTAATCCGAACTCCGCGAACGCAGCGCGGCTGTCAACCCACGCCTCTGTCGCCTGCGATGTTTCTTCTTTTTCGACTGTAGTGCACACAATAGTAATTGCGCTGGAAGAGAACACCGTGGGACCGGTCAAGGAACCGTGCGGTCGCTGCGGCCGGGAGGCGCGAGCGCACGGAGGGCCGAATCGTACCGGTCGAAGCCGTGGTCGCGCAGCATGCTCGGCCGCACGTCGAGCACTGACAGCCGACGCCGGTCAAGCCGGCGGCAGAGCCGCCACCCCTGCTGCGGCTGCGGTGGCGGCGGCCCGCCCTCCTCCTGCTCCTCCCCCCGCCCCGCCTCCTCCTTGGTTGAGACGACGGAGTGTCGGCTGCCGCCCGCGCCCGTCGCCCCGCCGCCCGCTCCCTCCTCCTCCGCCCGCTCGAGCAGCAGCAGCCGGCCGGGCGGGTAGACCGTCGCCTTGTGCGGCCGCGACACTCTCTCGCGCCGGTGCGCAAGCAGCCGCTCCGTCAGCGCCTCGTCGGCGTCCGTGTCGGCGTGGCGCGACCTGCGGGGTTTGGCCTCGCCCCCGGCCGCGGCGCGGCTCGAGGAGCTGCCCCAAGCCCAGGACTCCCTCCCCGCAAGGCGAGCCGCCTCGAGGAGGTGGCGCAGCGACCCTGCGAGACAGGCGACGCGGGCAGTGAGCGCCTCTCCGCCTGAGGGGGGAAGGGGCAGAGGCGAGAGGGGAAGGGGCCCACCAAGTGAGAGGCGCGGCACGGCGTCTGCGCCGAGGACGAAGGCGTCGGCCAGGTCTTCGTACGCGCCGCACTGGCGGAGCGGAAGCGTCGCCACCGGCGCAAACGAGAGCGCGTGCACCGCCGCCGAGCGAGGCAGCGCGCGCCGGAGCAGCCGGGCG